CCCCCGTCCCTTGCCGGGCAGCCCCCTTGAGATGTTTTTGGGGGGAAACTGAGGCACGGGTGGCCCTGGGCCACCGTGGCCAGTGCTGGAGTCAAGGGGGCTACTGAGGGCAGTGTCCCATGGTGGCCAGGGTTGGAGTGAGGGGGGCTACTGAGGGCAGAGAGTCCCATCCCACTGTGGCCAGTGCTGGAGTCAGGGGGGCTACAGAGGGCAGAGGGTCCCATCCCATCATGGCCAGTGCTGGAGTCAGGGGGGCTACTGAGGGCAGTGTCCCATGGTGGCCAGTGCCGGAGTCAGGGGGGCTACTGAGGCCAGAGAGTCCCCTCCCACTGTGGCCAGTGCTGGAGTCACGGGGGCACGGAGGGCAGAGGGTCCCCTCCCATTGTGGCTAGTGCTGGAGCCGGGGGGCTACTGAGGACAGAGGGTCCCATCCCATCATGGCTAGTGCTGGAGTCAAGGGGACTACTGAGGGCAGTGTCCCATGGTGGCCAGTGCTGGAGTCAGGGGGGCTACTGAGGCCAGAGCATCCCCTCCCATTGTGGCCAGTGCTGGAGTCAAGGGGGCTACTGAGGGCAGAGGGTCCCGTCCCATGGTGGCCAGTGTTGGAGCAACCTTGAGGTCGAAGTGGGCGATGCGTTGGGCGTGGAGGTACTGGACCCCGCGCAGGATCTGCCCCAGGAACTCGATGGCCTCCTCCTCCGACAGCATCTCCTTCTCCGCGATGAAGTCGAAGAGCTCCCCCCCGTTGATCCTACACACCGGGGGGGAGGATGAAGAGGAGAAAATGTGGGGTGGGGGGGGGCAAAAAAAAATAGAGGGGGTGTTCTTCCCACTTCCCAAGTCCCTCAGGACTCACAGCTCCAGGATGAGCACCATCTCGGCTCTGCTGGAGAAGAGGTCGTGGAGCCGCATGATGTTGGGGTGGTGGAGCTGGCGGAGGATGGTGACCTCCCGTTCCACCTGCGCCTTCTCCAGCCCCCACCGGCTGCCCCGGCACCGTCGAGTCTTCACCATTTTGGCGGCGTAAAAATGGCCGCTGCTTCTCTCCCGGCAACGCTTCACCACCCCAAAGTGGCCACTGTGGCCAGAAAACGGGATGGTTTGTGTCCCCGTGTCCCCGTGTCCTCCCCACCCGTGTCCCCAACACACACACACGGTGGGGGGGACCCAGATGTCCATCTGCCCCCCCATGGTGGTGGGATTCCCACCCCACCTCTCCATCCCTCACCTTCCCAGTGTCTCCAGTAGCTCGTAGAGGTCCTCCACGTTGCCCGGGCTGAAGGTGGCCACCAGCTCCTCGCTCCCGGTGGCCCCAGTTGGATCCTGGGGGGGGGACGCACCGGGACCATCACCCCGGGGTGGGGGGGGACATCTTGGACCAGCCCCTTGACTTGACTCAGTCACCCCAGGGTGGGGGGGACATCCCGGACCTGCCCTGTGACCCCCCCCCATCCCATTGAAAGCCCCACAACTCCCCCCCCTAACACTAGAGGGGATTCTCTGTGTCTACTATGTGGCTGAGCTGAGTCTCCT